CCCCGCCGCCCGCTGCCAGCCCCGCCGCTCCGCGGGCTGCGCGAAACACGCGTGGGCCCTTCCACCTCCCCGCGCAGCGAGGGGCAGGGGAGCGCGGAGTCGGGGTCGGGACGGGGCGGGGAGAAAGTTGCCGGGAGGTGGCGGAGAGGCGACGCGGCGTGGGGCGGCCGTGCGTGGGGCTACAGTGTGCGCGCTGCTCCGCGGGTGTGGGGTTGTGTGTGTTGTGTGTGTGTTCTATCCCCTGGCGGTCCCGAGTGGGGGCTGCGGCTGCTGCTGCCGCTGCCCCCCAGCCGGGGGGGTGGTTAGGGTTCGGGTTAGCCGGGGCCGGGGGTCGGAGCCTGCCGGCAGCAGGTGAAGGCAGGAGGTAGTTTGCAGCCGCCGCCGGCAGATGGAGCGGGAGGGGTGCAGGCAGCGCTTGCCGCCGTGGGAGCCCGCTGCCCGCCGGCCGCCCCACGCGTGGGGGTGGATGCCGCCCCCAGGCGCTTCCCCGCAGAGGCTCCCCCGGGCTGCTCCTCCGGGTCGTGGCAAAACCTGGGCGAGTGAAACCAGACGGTTTAGCAGGCTAACCTGGTCTGCAGGGGAAAGCTGATTTCCCCTGGGTGAACTAGGTAGAATTCAAGACAAGTTAAATGTCAAGTAAAAGTGTTACTCAGTTCAGGAAAATACAACTGTTGAATGAAAGTTCCCGCTTTGTCTGTCTTTTTTTTTTTTTTTTATGAAATCAATATAAAGTCTTTTGCTAGGTTCAGCAGTTAAAATTTCTTGCAAGAAAACTGTCCGACCACTCTCTGATTTTGCTTCAACATTAATGATGGCATACTCAACACTATCTGCACATTTTTAGGGTACAAAGAATATAGAAGTCACCTCTTGGCCTGCATGAGGAGACAAGCAAAGCAGCTTCATCTTGCCCATCGTGTGTGTCATGCAGAAGTAGGAAACTGTCCTCCAGAGAAGCGTTGCGTACTGACCACAACAGGGATGGGTAACAGCTTCCAGGCACCCCGTATCCCCTGGGGCCACCACTCCAGCTCAGAGAGGCAGCTCCTGGCTTCACAAATCTTGGGTAAATCTTGGGAGTGGAGTACGCCTAGGAGCCTGAGCAGGTTAGAAGAGCCAACAAAGAACTACCGCACTTGACTTTCTCACGATGTTTTTAAAGGCTTTGTAGGAAAGGGAGTGTATTTTTATTTGTTTACAATGAACAGTTTAGGGGTTTATTGCACTGTTGTCATGAACAGATGCAAGATGATGGCAATTACAGTGAATCAGTGTGAGGTCTCATGCAAAGTGTAACACGTGCATGGGGAATGGAAAGAGAAATAAGAAAAAGTGCAGTAAGCCAGTGTGGAAAACAGCTTTCATCTCAGCAATAGCTTCTGCTCACAGCATCTCATGGAAGCAAAACGGGTTATGATTGCATTCCTGCAAACAACGACAAGAGGCTTTAATGTTCACTCAGACCAAGCAGCAGTGTGAATCCCTCTCTGTATTCATGCAAGATGCATGCAGAAGATGTGTGCAGCGGAAAACCCACAGTGGGATCAAAAAGATATGCTATGGGGAAATTATTGCTCTGTTCACCAAACTCTGACTATGATGGCCCATGAGAGTGCAGGTACTGTCAAGAGCTCTGTTTACCGAGTGGGGATAAAGTGAGAGGGCACAGGAGGCCAGAGCAGATGAAAAATGTACATCTAGGAACGGAGCTAAAATTGCAGGGTCGAGGACATGTTAGGCAGAGAAAAGCAGGAACAGTGAAAATTTTATTCTAAAATAATAAGAAAACAAAGTTATAACTGATAAAATAAAGCTTCAGTGTGAGAGGCAAACAGGTAGAGGGAAGTTTTTAACCTCTGTACCAATGCAACAATCACTCTAAAGAAAACAGGGAAATACAATAGCAGCATTACCTGTTACAGCCCATATTCCAGCTGTGCCAAGTTTCAGAGTTATGTCAGAGCTCAGATACTGTGTGACATTCCAGATGCTAGTTCAATGATAAGCTAAATTCTCTTGGCTCCAGTTTCTGTGGTCCTCATTCTGGTCACTGCAGGGTGAAAGAAGATATCCTCGACGTGGGGAAGGTAACGCAGCAGTATTTACCCACACAGAGGAAAGGCTGGGTAATAAATGACATCATTTTGCTTAAAGAAGGGGCTCCTAGCAAAGGTACTACCAGTCATTTGCATGAAGTATAAGACAGAGCCACAGTAATATGGCTTCCCAGGATTCACTTACTGAAAGGGTCAGCAGAGAACTTTGTCACATGAAGACCCCCTCATGTCTCCAGGAAGGAAGAAGAGTCTCAAGTTAACCTGAGTTTTTGGAGATATGGTTCAAGCTATTTCCTTTACCAGACTCCCTTTGTGGCCATAGCTTTGTCACTTAGCTTATATTTTGAAGAAGTGCCTGAAGCTACATGTAACTGTCTGTAAAGATCTCTTACTGTGTTGCTAGAAGAAGACAAGTGCCCAGATATTTGCTAGGTAGCTGCCTTTAATGCCAGGTGCAAAAACATCTTTACAAACCCGACCTTTCATCCAAGATTTGTCACTTGTTTTCTTCATTTCTCATAAATCCCAAGAGATTTACACTGTCACAAAAAACAGAGCAAGTGTTGCACCCTTTTGTTCATATATGCCTACTGAATGGAGTTTGAACTAATTTTTTTCTCCAGGAAATACCCTACTGTGTTGGGCAGGCACAAACCTGACCAGCACACATGTGGATGTTTGGCACCAGTGTTTCAAAGATCTTAAAGGATGTGGGGCTATGGACAAAAGACTCTGTTTGTTGCAGGGATGTAGGAACCCTGCAGAGGAGAGGTGGGGTTGGGATTGCATTGACCAGAACTGCTTTGAACTGACCCTGCTCTGAGAGCTTTGTCCAGAGCTACAGAATTTCTGTGTGAAAAAGACCAATGACTTTTTAAAAAGTAATTTGCCTTTAGGCTTGCGAAGAAGAACGTCCAGACATAGAGTGAAACAGCTGTCTCAGCATCAACCATCCCCACAGAGTATCATTCTGGTGTCTAACTATAGTGGTTTCAAGAGTAGCTACTCATTTTAGGCTGAATGTTCAATCGCACTTTGTACTATGGGCTGGGGGGTTCAACTCGGCCTGGGAACGGTGGTTCTCCTTGACCTTCTAGATGCAGAGAAGCCGCACTGCTCCTGCAACTGTCCCTGTTCCCCTGATAAAGAGCAGGGGCTGCTGCTTCCCAGGGCCAATCCTCCTGGCATTATCACCACACCAAAATCACTAAGAAAAACAACAGGCTGGAGCAGAGGGACGGGTCCATGCTACACAAACACGGCTTCCAAAGAAGGAACAAAGGCATACACAGGGTCCTAAATGCCAAAGATGGGCTTTGCCTCCTGCAGTTATTTTTTCCCTTTTGTTTCTGACTGTAGGAATACATTGTTCACTTCATTGTGAAGAGTTCCAGGCAGACATGACGAAAGGGACAAAACAGCTCAAGAAAAGAGACGTCCCGTGCAGCATTCATGAAATGTGCTGTTTGGAAACAAGGAACGAGCAAACAGGAAAGTGCTTTAACCATTGAGAAGGCGGGATCCCAGCATGTTCTTGGCACCAGCAGGAACAATAGGGTGATGTCACGAGCCAGAATTCCCCACGGTGGATGGAAGCCCAGCAAATAATCATAATTCTTGTCCTGGGACATTAGCAAAATTTTTCCACAGTTGATCATCCCCCCACTGAGTCCCTGTTAGGAAGTATAGGAAAGAGACATTGTCAAATGAAGCTTCCTTTGGGAGATTCGTCGCCCCCCACCCCCAGATCAACACATCAGTTGTTATAAATCACTGCTTTCTGCTGACTACAAGGAATTTCAGTGGTGGTGCCGGGAGGCTGAGCACAAGGCTGCCTGAAGAATATATTTCACACAGTGAAGAATGGTACACACAAGGGTCTGGATGCTTGTAAGGGCAAAGGGGCAGAAGTCTCATTAGCTATCTAGGACTTGGAGCTGACACAGCATCAGTATGGAGCATTGTCCTTGCAGTTTCAAAGGTGCTGAGAATGGCAAGGAGCTTAGGAGACACAGTCTTGCACAAACAGTGGTGTTTGGAGGATTTCAACCAAGTTTAAGGCTACTAAATGACATGAGCAATACAAGGGCATCCTCAAGATCCCAGACTCTCTTTCTTATTTTGGCTTAAAGTCAGCTCTGTGGAGAGTGACCTGAAGTTCACTTGCAGCACCCAGACATTTTCTGAAGCAGCTCCTGAATTCCCCTTTGGCTCCTTTCTTTTGACAGGGACTAATCCCATGAGAGGACTGGGGTAGCCAGGCAATCCTCACAGTTTGTGATGGCTTTCAATCATTATTGGGCTATTACTGAAAATCAAGACTGCTTTCACTTCTCCAAGATTTGCTCTGCAAGACCCCAGTCAGCTTCTCTGCAGAGTACACCAACTCGGGGCTGTCACTTTTGTTTTGTTACATGAAGGTTGCTGTTAGTACGATGGGGAGGTGGGACTGCTTGGCCAAGCTGGACGTGGGATTACTCTTTCAACAGCAAAAAGGACTTCGAGGA